TTGTGTATAGGCATACAGATCCACATATGCATATAGGCAGAGCTACTAAAATGGCATGAATACGATTAAGCTATACGCTAATATCCATCTCAAGCATAAGTAGGTGCCATTATCTGATCATAATAGCTTTGCTTGCAATAATAATAGGTGGAGTGATTTTGGGGAGTTTAGTGAGAACTGGTGACTCTCTTTGTCTTATTAGCTTATAAACCACTTTAATCTCTAATAGATCTGATATACACTTCTACTGGTTAGAAGCGATTTTGACTTTACCTAAATGGTCGGCCCAGATTAAGTTATCCTTCTCAGGCACATTTTCACGCTAATCGCTCAAAATGAGTAAGAGACCATCTACGCTGAAGAGTGAAAAGTTAATTCTAGTCCATCATTATGGCCTACTTGATTAGAAGGAATAGTTCAGCAGATTGCACAACTAGCAGCCCAGATATTCTCTCTCTATGCCATAGACGACTTGCCTACATTCATACAGGGCAATTTATTTGGGAGGTTTCCTTTTTAGGTGAGAAGAATGATAAGACGTGCCTAAGTAGTTATTATCCTCATGAGAGCCATAACAACTAAATGGGTGTTAACATGTTCAGCTTTGTGATAATAAATAAATGTGTTTATGATCGACTCCATCCATGCATTGTCTATTGCACCCCTCAAAATGCAATTAATTTCTCATTATGTTAGTGGAATTAGTACTTAATGAATGACTCATTATTGCTCAAACCTGAGGGCAACGAGGCATATTTGATAGGGTATAGTATGATTGAAAGAGGTCTCGTAAAGAGTCATTATGTCATATCCTTCGTTTTGTTTCTGGGACAAAGTGGAACTGGCAATTTACATAAAGCGGTGTACATGACCTAAAGCCCCATGCTGCTATGAATTTTGCCAAATGCCACTGAAAACCTTGTTAAGTTCAGTAGCAAGCACACGCTTGCCTACAAAAAACAGAGATCGGACTGTCGATAAATTAACCAAAATCGCTTAATCTTTCATTAAGGTTTGAGCAAGGGTTATAAATTGACGATAAGGTTCGATTTTGTCAGTAAACTCCTCCGTTTATGCGTCACATAGAAGCGTTTCTGACCATATTTCGATGTAAACCACAAAAAACATGAGAGATTGAATGGACCTCATTCCTCAATGGACCCTGCACAATGGTCGCCGCATGTTCTTCCAGCTATCCAGGCTTGATAAGAGAGACAGTGCAAAAACTAATGACCGTGTCATTTTTGTCTACTTCACGCAGAATGAGCTCGTACATGATCAACGGTACCGTCGGGTTTCTTGTCTGTTATAGCTTTCAGGTAGACTGGCTCCTCTCAATTCCAATCATTCATTCATAAATTAAGAAAATTCGCATAGCTTACGACAAATTTGAGGCCCCAAAATTAATGAAATCTGGGAAATAGCATATTTTTCCAAAGTTAATGGAGTCAACTCCATCTGCTTCGGACGAAAGAAGATCAGATCAACATACTAGTCCGGATAACTAAACCTGTTTAGGTGGCATGGAATGGAGAAATTCTACATCGGGATCGGGTCATGTCTTTCGAACCTCTGCCCCCGTGTGCCATAGGATAATCGGTGTATCTTGCCGACAAACAAGTAGTTTGTAATGTTCAGGTTATCGCTTATTCTGAGTAAAACTACATCTACAATAAGGTAAAGTGTATACGATACAGCATAATTGCAGTGATGAGTTGATATGGGCAATATGTAACAAAAAATCAGGTCATTAATCTTCGTCTTGCATAGATACATGTTCTAATAAGTCGGAGCTATCACTTATTTTCATACTCAGCTATGCATGATAACGGGCAAATTGATTTAGAATATACCTCCTGAAAATTAAATTTTTATCATAATATTTGGTTTGTATTATCTCCGAGTTCCAGCTCAGTTAATATCTATACAAAGAATAACAGGGATTTGACGAATCTCTCTAAATTCACATCGAAGGAGACAGCCATGAAGAGACGTTGGTTTCGTATGAAGATGCATGAAGAGAAGATTCAAAGGTCGATTGCACCAGAAGACAACTGTGGTCCAGTTCGTACTGCAGCTGCTTGGCTTTAATATGAGGTAAAGTAAAAAAGTGGCATGACCAATATGAAATGTAATTAGCCAAACAATTATATATCCATCTATGCCTATACATTTCTTTTTCTCATTATGAGTATAAATATATAAGAGGTAATCTAAAGCTGGAGAGTCTTGTTGACCTAGTGTTAACGAGGGACTTTCATAGGGATCTAATCATATCCATCATATGATAGACAAAAGCTCAGCCAGTTTTCACTCGAAACTAGAGAGGATGTCTCGTGAAATGCATCAACCAGAACGGCTAAAGAACAACGGGAAGCAGCCGTAGTCTTCTGATAAGATCAACATTGGAATCTCGTTTTTATGTACTTTCGTGTGAAATAATAGTCTCCCCAAGAGGCAATAATTACGAAAGTCTGGAACCTTTTTTACGCAACGCAAAGAAGGATGTCTTGACGACTATGTCAGGATGAAAATAAGGGAAAACGTGGAAAATTGACAGTCTTCTTTTGGTCAGATTTATCCATAATTTCTTTCCACACTAAAAGTGAAAAAAGGAGCTAAATGCACCTAACCAAATTCACTTCTCCTGTTGGTCTTTGACTTTTCCCAGGGGTAAAAGAGTGTCTCATTTGGATTGCCGAAAATAATAAAAAAATCGTGGATGGACGCTTATTAGATGGCAAATCTATCATCAACTCACAACATAGCAGAAGGATGAATTTCGATATTTCCAATTATGATTGTGGACAGATTTAGAAAACGGGTAGATCATCTGCTTCGTAGTGTAAAATGGCCAAAATTAGTGTATATAAGATGGCATTTGATTGATAGTGCTTCTTCATAGTGCACACTACAATTACGTTCCTCCACAATAATTAATCAATGAGTTTGTCATATTTAATTGTATATTAACTAAGAATTTAGTTAGCCTACATCGCTTAAGACTTTTTAAGGACTGATAATTCCAACAATAAGATGAATAGGCCTCTGGATACCAATTAATTTCACTAAGGATTTTCTCTCAAAATGCTTTCTTATCCCATACGGATTGGACTGGACTGGACTGCAATTTCGACTCTGCCTTAAGTCTTACCAACACCTGTTGCGGGATTCGATACCGGATCGGAGTTATCGTGTCAAAGTCACCGCTCCATTAAACCGTCACGACTGCAAGCGCTTGACGACATTAAAGGCAGGCCAGACCTTTAAATCACATTTATATTGGGATTGTCAACTATGCAAACATTGCAGTAAACTATATTACTCATTTTCGATTTAAGTAGTTTTCAAGACTATCAGGGCCCTCTGACTCACTTGCCTCCGTTGCTGGGCGGTGGAGTGGAAATGTCACCAGGAAACTCACGACATGGGCTGTGCTGATGTGACCTAAGCGAGGTCGACACAGTAAAATCTTGGAAAACTAAACTTAGTCAAATTCAATGGCATCATATGTTCTACTCATCTCATTGTTCGAAAACGCAGCTGAGTCCTTAAGGCACCTAAGATTATAAAGTTATTAGTTAATATATAATTATATAATTTTCATTTTAAATTTATAATTGAATTGTAGAGCTTTGCAAATTGCTTACCATGCCTATGCCTATTGGCCAATTGGATTGGGATAATTGAGGCTGATTGCCCGAGAAATCAGCCAATCGTATTTCGAAAAACCTGACGTGAGGTACAGAGCCTGACTGTAACCACCCAACGTGGCGGAGAACACGATCATCCTGAAACCCATCATAAACACATTTGCATTGAATTTCACTCATGACCTCCCGTTGACACTTTTTGTCTGTGAAGGTTTGGGCGAATGTGACTTTTGTGAGGGAATATTGTCATGGCTATTAACTGTCATTAAATACAATCACAACTCAACCGATGGATGAGAAGACGCCAACACCGAGTGCCTGTTGGCCTTATCCAAGCGACGACTTCCAGAATGGAACCAATGCATTAAGTCCAGCCTAGGCAGTCTGTGAATTTAAATTGTTCCCGTGGCAACTGTCGGCCGCATCAGATACCGCCAGGATAGCGAGCACTATTGGCCGACTCACGTCACAACCAAACCCAATCGCTGGCCCTACAGCTGCACAAGAAAAAATGGCCGCGACGAATGAGTCCGACTGGATTGAATTGACCAGACGTCCAGTCGCCAAATCAGGATCTACCGACTGCGATTTGGTACCTTCGAGGGCTGGCCAATCGGCGAGCTGGATGCCCTCTGGCGGAGCGAGGTGTCTGGATGGCAACGTCACTCTTTACCTGCCGATCTGCAGACTATACCAGACCGACCTGCCTGGAAGCATCGAGACGAAACTCACGAATACGTCGACAAGAGGCACCTCAGAATGCGTTGCTAAGAGCCTCAATGAGGCTACTGGTACAGTTCGCAGCTCCCGACCTTTCGGATGGTTGTTGCGATTTTGCGCCAGGGTCAGGCGTGAGTTCCGTGTCTTCTGCGAGAACACCACCATTCGAGGAGTCCCACGCATCGCGAAGGCCAAGTCGAAGCCGATTCTCAGTCTATGGCTCACTTTTGTCCTTTTACTTTTTGTCGGTCTCTTTGTTTGTATGTTCTTTCTTGCCCGCCAGTACCTCGAGTACGACGTCATCCATCCGCCCAGAGTATTGAGAGATGCCAATTCACCGTTTCCAGCCCTGACATTCTGCAACCTACGACCTTTGAAGCCCGCTGCCAAGACATTTATCCAAAGATCTGGCTGGCGCGATCCACGTCAGTTTAGTCAGCGTTTGAATGAGTATGCCGGTGAGCTGTTGTTCAAGGCCAATCGGAAGCCGGACTACCAGCGGATGAGTGTGGCGATTTCGATGGGATCATACCTCGCCAGCCTAGGAGAGCAGTACTACCAGGAAATGGGGCACACACTCAACGAGTCAATCATCCAGTGCCAGGTCAGGGGCTAATTTGAACCTATTTGTTTTACTTGTCGCATACTACTTATAAGAGACTACTCATCGTGATTTGATGAATTGTCACAATGGTTAGAGCTGAGCCAGCCCCTGTCCATGATGTATCTCAGGTGAGTTTTGAAGTTCGTGGCAAATTGAAATTAAAGGCGAAAATTCAATTCAACTTTTTAAAAGCTTCTTTGTGAAAAGATGAAAATAGTCTTAGTGTGCCAAATGATTTAGTAGGACTTTGCACATTTCACTTAGATGCACAATCCTCTGACAATTGTTGTGAAAATAGGAGAAAACAGCTTTAAAATCTGGGAAACTTAGGATGATAGGATAACTTAAAATCTTGTAACCTCAAATTGACTTATGGAACTTTTTTATGTGGAAAACGAAAAGTTACTTAAGTGTTACAGAACGTTGAATGAAAATCTCTATAGCCCGTCACGCTAATCTAAACTTTAAAGTTAAATTGTGGCAAAAAAGCTACATTTTATGGAATTATGACACCCAGCTTTTAAGAAAGTGAATCTCAGACATATGCGCCCTATTTAGGGCATCCTTTGAGAGTCAAATAATTAAGAATAAAGGTGACAGAAAAGGCAAGAGAGGAAATAGTTTTGGAGCATGTGTGCTTATCAGGTAAAAAATGCATACATTTATAACATGCAATTAAGTTTCTATATCCTCAGTGATTTCAAGTAACAATAGAACGCCATATTAACCTACTACACAAAAATCTCGCACGAAGACAGGCTGTTATTTAATAAAGGGCAAAGGCTTCAATTTTTTTTATTATATTTGCAAATTTTATAGCAAACATAATAATCAGTTAGCCAAGCAGTCTCAGGTAGCTATATGCCTTGAATTTTAGAAATGTATTATCTTATTATAAATGCAAACTTTAAAGTCACCCAAAGCAGTGTGAAAACGTTTTCACGCCAACATCCCCAAGGCAGATATATAAACTTAGTTGATTAAAACCAAAGACTTACTTATATTCGTCTTATTAGGCTTTGAATCTAACAGTATATGTTTTACAATAAATATTTACTCGTTTGGTCTTTCGTTATTTAGTGTTTAGGCTCAAATCGAGTAAATGCCCGTTTTAGGAAGAATATTTTGATCGTTGTAAATCTGTTCACCTCATGGCAAAGAAAGTTTATGAAGGAATTCATGATAGCATTATTTGAATGGGCTACTCAAAAGATGATTTCATAAAAAGGCAGAAGTAAACCAAAAAATGCCCAAAAGTTTAAGCGTAGTATAGAAGTGTATATAACTAATTAATGCAATTTATTTGGTGTTTTAAATATTCCCTTGTTATTATTATTTTAATGCATTGTTTGCGTGTAAAATGAGACAAAAGTGGTTTTGTTTTATTAGCAAATTTTAAATATATCTCATCTTTTGTGATAGCATCTAAACCAAATCCTATGCTTATAGGGACAAGCCGTACTTAAAGCTAATTTGCTGTCGTCACTTGAAGAGAATTGGGCGAAGGAGCCTGCACATTTCCGCCACAACTACTAATGCCTACGTCTAGCAGGGACCATGTTGTAGATGAAAAAAGCCGTTTCATAGCGGCACTGAGTTAAATTGGGTATCCGTTTGATGTCTCAAAATAAATTGTTGGATAGATCCAAAATATGCTTTGAAGGATTATTCAGATTTTGAAGTACTGCATACTATGAAAATAAATAAACAGATAAAAGTAATGCAAATAAAGAGCAGGTGGTATATCATATAATAAAAAAATTATGCAATTAAAGTATATTAACAATCAGTTTAACGCTCTGAATAGGATTCTTGGAGCTCACGAGAACCAAGCTATCATTGTCGTTTATGAAGTAGCCCGGTTTATCATAGAAGGATGCAGATTTTTCTTAGCGATATACCTCCATGAATGTGTCATGTTGAATGGAATATACGTGTCTTGGACCCTGTCAATGAATGGGAAAGTGGGGCTACACCTTTCAGCTCGATTGGTCAGAATTAAGCTCCGAGAAATTATAAGGCCTGGACCAAGTCGGATTTTAAGTCTAGCTTTGAGGATGTAAGCAGTCCTGTAACTTAATTAAACATTGTTTAGATACTGCATTTCTCTTTCTTGAGGCCTACACGGCTTTTGAAGAAAGTCAAGTGGTATAATTGCGCTAGCAATTGAAAGCAGAAGTTAGATTATACTTTTGACGAAATTTTCACATAAGAAATGAATTCATCAATTTTATATGGTGAAATTTCAACGTTACTAGCAAGCGTAATAGGTAGGCTGATTTGCTCAGATGTTATTAATTTATTTACTTCCGAAATTTTGTCGAAAACAAAGCCTGCTGTGCAAAATGATCTAATTCAGTGCTTTGCTATTTACTTGTTCGACCGTACTGGCCTTTAAGATAAAACTACATTGAGATATTATGTTATTCAATGTATGCTACTGGATTTTGTAAGTGGCTCAGAATTTCCCTGATAAGTGAAGTCTTTTTGGATATATATATATATAAATATATATAAAAATATAAATAAATAAATATATATATATAATCTACTCGAAAACCTGCTTTTAAAATGGACGATATAATCATTCAACAACCAAAACACTTTGTAAAAGAATCTGAGCCACCATTTAATCAACTAATTGGGGGATTCTTTTATTATTTACAAATGATAATGTTACTTTTTCTTAAGGCATTTGAATGCTGGTATGCATATTAAGTAAGACGTCAAATGAGTCATTGAACGAGTAAAGAAATCTATCAACCAGTTGCTAGACTTAAACTATTGAGTCAGAATATATATGTGTATCAATTGGCCTAAACTTAATGAATTGCTCAATCCTTTGTAGCATAATATCGCTTAATCTCCTTCTGCATAATTATCACGCTCCGTACTACTGCATATATATAAAAGAATCCGTTCAGATAAGTCCTGCAGGTTAAATCTCGAGCTAATTATTATGGAAGCACTATTCATAAATTATTTGGATTCAGGATACTACCGCCTTTATGGATATAAATATGTTCACTAATTGCATAAAGGATGCATACTTTGCACATACTAGAACCTTCTCAAAGTGGATAATTTATAGAAGTCTTATACAAAGTATTATAACATTGCGAAAATTAATCTGAATGGGTTGATAGCTTTTCAAAAAATAAACAAGGGCTGTGAAGAATGTACTCGTTATATAAAGCTCAGCATAGTAAATTTCATAGCTAGTGGTGTGGAAGTGAATAATCATAATTGCTAGATAAAAGCTAAAATCACTATAGATTTATTACTAAATGAAGGTTTGATATTAAAAAAACTCGAGCTTATAATAATGAGTACCTTGACTTCGAATCAAATTTAAACATTTGTATTTAATAAATAAAAAAAATTCGCGATTAGCATTGGAGATACATTTTATTTGTGCAAACTTCGTAAATGCTGTATATTATAATTTGATAAATATACTAGCCTCTACGTTAACATTGCCAGTATCAATGTATTGCCTGCAGGCACAAAGCATATGCATCCTTCAGGTATTCCTAAGAAGTATCGAAGCAATTACAAACCTGAAACTTTTCTTCATCCTTTTAACACTTTCATTGAATTTAAGTTCATTTTCAGATAAATGTTGCATTTTATGAGATCAAATTCAAGCTTTAGCGCGTTAAATCTTTATACTTGGCTTTTCAAGCTATTTGGTCTAGTATTACATTTCAACGAAGCATATTCTTTAACTTTCTCAGGTATACAATTTTATAAATTACCTCATAATAATGAACTCTACCAGGATATGGAGATAAAATTGCTCTTAAAGTATTTCCACCTATTTTTATTTACTAACAGAAATTATTAGTTGTGACCAGCGTATATAGATTAAATTAAGGTAGAGCCTCTTTTAAAGACTAATCTAATAATAATATTTACGGCACTGCTTTACTAGTGTGGTAAACTAATTTCAGAGATACGATGGGAAACTGGCTTTCGATGAATCTGTTGAGATAACATTGTTAGAGGCACTTTCGTTTCGTATAAAAGTGAATAAAGAAGAGATTCGTTGGTTGATCTCACAATATGAGGATTGATAAATCTCGTTATACTGCAGCCGTTAGGCTTTTATACAATATTCATGATGTCCATAATAAGATGGACGAAAGCTCAGCACATTTTTACCCGAAACGAGGGACGAAGTCTTGTGGACTACGTCAACATGAATATCGTATAAAAGCCAAACGGCTGCAGTATAACGAGATTTATCAATCCTCATCTGGTAAGATCGGCCAACGAATCTCTTATTCATTCACTTTTATACGAAATAAAAGTCTTGCCAATAATGTCAGAGAGACAAAGATTTCTGTAGTAGAAACGACAGCCAAGCTACATCGGGCTTTCTTTTTTTTTAA